ACTAGAGGCAATACTTGCATAAAATTCTATCGAAAGACATCCACTGAAATTTGGAAACGCCTGATTTTTGAAATAAAATCTTATGAATTGTGACTGGTGTTCAAGAAGTCGATTTGCAATTAACCTACATTTAAAAAGTTAACCTAAGAGTGTGCCAGGACATACATTTGTTACATAAAGTATACAATAATGCTCTGCATACAGTGTACTTGATAGACTAGGCATTCGATTTAAATGCTTAAAGAAAGGAAGATGATAACTAGCCAAATGTTCCCCAGTCTGATTCAATTAATAATCTTTACCTCTTTACCAAACAAATCATGCATCGCGGATACACCAGTATGTAAGTAATGTAAAGAGCTGTTCCCCAGGGAGAGTTTCTTAGTATGTGCGGTATGTTTAAGATTTGAAAGCGCAAATATGTCCAAATATGTCTGGGCAATGTAGCCCTAAGTTAGCCTGTATTCAATCTTACTTGTCCTCACTGGATCACTGGAGTAACTCCTGGAAGTTGCACTTTGCCACTGAGAAGAGTAATCTATTGGTCCACGGCTGTGTCCCCTCTCTGAACATCCTTACATTAAACGATACCCTTATTCCTGTGTGTGGCGCAGTCCGAGACCTTAGTCTAAGATATTCTGCCACATTTAATTTCTTAGAACATGTTATATTCTTGCAGGGTTCTGCCAGAAAACAGACTGCCTACATAAGTCGAACTCTTATTTTGAGGGATTACAGGCTTCAAGCATTTAAAATATGTGTTAGCCGAAGCTTGAGTACTGTACGATTGTGTATAGTAATCTGAGAAAAGTGGATATTATAGCACTAGAAAACATTCAACGATCATTCATAAAGAGGTTTTTGAACAAGCCTAATACTATGACATACCGTGAGCGCTGCGAGGCGCTAAATCTGGAGCCGCTATGGCTACGCAGACTCAAACTGAATCTGTGCCTTCTATACCGCTTACTATTCGGGTTAAGCTTCACCGCGCAGCCAAAACTCCAGTTTCAGACTGGTATACGCTATGAACTAAGACACAGCGAGCGCACAGTGAAAATACCAAAGTCTTGCACAAAGCTCCGCTCAAATTTTTTCCCCCTAAAATATGCGTTAATATGGAACAAACTTCCATCGAGTGTTAGTAATTGCATTACCTATACTAAATTCAGTCGCGTGAATAATATTTACCTGACTGTTGCAAATATCTGGTCAACACTAAGCCAAACGTTGACTCTAGAGTGTTTGTATGAGGAAGGTATTGGATACATTTGAAAGTCACCATATCTTCTCTTCGTTTCAATATTATAAGATTACCTACAATTCTAGGGTATGCATTTATAAACGATCTTAATTCGATCACTCTGTTTTACCGATTCTGTTTTCTCCTTTGACACACTGGTTCGTAGCTTCACTACGCCTTTCAAGCTGATGTCTCTACACCATCGTTGCCACTCGTCAAGATTTTCTATCAAATTGTGATTGGCCTATCGGCAAGCGATGGCATTCAATATTATGTTTTTTAATTCCTCAAACTATATCTTCTTCTTTGTTGCATTATTGTTCATGACTGGGTTGATCTCTTGTGGTGACGAATTACAGCTTCCAAAATAAAAAAGTATACCCATGCAACTCATATTGCTACTGACTCGCTGGATTAAAACAAAATAGTGCCATACTTGATTGAGCCGCATGACAGAACGCGCTGAGGCTTCATCGCCTATAATGTGTGCATAAAACAGCCCTAAAAAGCATTTGATACCCAGTCTGATGGCCTACGTGCTATTTTGCCACACCGGCGAAGAGGCAATTGGAGCGTGGAAGTGCGGGTGAAACCCATCGTGGAAATACCCTACATGGAAGCAAGTCCCCTGGGCACAGTTCCATGGATGACCGTATTACTTTACTTGAACTATCCGTGAAATCTTCATTTATTATTGTTCCGTTTCTTAATCTCTCCACGATTTTCAAACTGCTAATCACTTTAAGAATCCAAATGGGAACCATTGAACGAAACACATAAAATTAACTATATTATGCGATCACGTTGTACATCTCGATAAGACCTCTCAATTGGTCTGTGCCTCGCAATGTCGGAGAATAAAACGTTTATTTATTTATATATATTTTTCTTCATGCTCTTCATACTCAGCATGACGTACTCGCAACCGACTGAATTACCTAAAACGTAATGAAATAACAAGCCGACTGTGGCCAACTTTATTTACTTTCTTTTGTTCTTTCATCCTTTGATCATAATTCTGTCGTAAACCTCATGCAGAAATGTTCAATAGCGAGTAGAATCTAATCAGTTTTGCCTGTTAACTCTTCAATCCATGTTTCATTTAACGCTGGTCATTCAAGCTCTCATACGCTTAACGCACAAGTGAACCTAATTTCCTGAAACTCTGTACACTATCAAGCACATCCTACTTACGCGTGCATGGCAATCTCAACTTCTATTTACTAACACTTTCATGTGTAGATGTTAATCTGAGGACAAAATCTTCAAGCATGCACTACCTCAAGGTAGAATGCCACAACATATGGAAAAGTTGTCTTATTTAAATGTTATCTCGTATGCTTACGCAATTATGTTCTAATGTTCTTCATGTCGCCATACGTCCGCACCGCTTTCCATAGAAAACTCTGTTCCGTAAGTAATGACAGCTCTCATACAGATTGATCCATCTGTGGCATTCAGCTGGAGAGTCAATACTGATAAATGAATTTGGACTATACTGGGGAAAACGTCTCAAACATTTGTCAAAGAGTAAGCACGCCAAAAGAGCATGTTTCGTGAAAACGAATTTGTATATTATTATTATTATTATCCTTTAATGACTGACGCAATTTCAACTTTTACTTCACTGACAGCCTAAGGTTTATGAACATTTGTTCGCAAAAGCACAGGACAGCCTTCATCCGACCTGTTATAACAGTGCTTGCAAACCGGAAGAAGCATGAACTAGTGAGACATAACAAAACATTGAACACTAACTCGTGTTTGAATATTTCATTTATTGTGGTCAAGGCGAAATAAAATATATCTTGGGTACGATTTTTGGGCACTTTTAAACTGAGCCTATCTCGGCACATATTCCCTTAGTCAGAATCCAGAACGCGAAATTTTGCCCATGCCACTGGCTCCTCTGCTACATACGAATCGTTGTCCATGGCCTGAATTGATTCTGCAGGCTAGTCTGATTGCACTAACTCTTTGATAAAATATGTATACCGACCATTGCTAATAGAAATTAGGCATCAAATAGAAACGTGTGCATCCTTCGGCTTTTGTTTGCACACCGTATTATTCAAACTTCTGAAGTGTATTAGCTGCATTGACTTAACACAAATACTTATAATATCTATATGAAGCTTTTGCGGAGTCCCTTTCAACAACCAAATACAGGGCATCCCTTAGTTACACAAAACACTATGTATACCAGAATCATCTACCAGATAACCGCATGCGCGTTTCAGTAAATTTACCGGTGACTCTAGTTTCCAAACACCCCTAAATATGTTCACTGAAATTCGTCCTTCATGCTGCGTATCACTTTATGTTACGTCCGCGTGCACACTCTCCGTCAGCAACTCAAAATACTGAAAATTTTTGTACAGATCAATACAATGTCAAGACGATGCGCCAGTGTAATTGACGTTCCACTTTGATAATAATCGTTGCACTGGATCGTGTTGCACCTCGTGGCAGGAGTACGGATGTAGAACCATTGAATTTGGTTTCATGTGGATACATTATGTGTTTCAGTGGTTAACGGCTCAAACGTTAATTTTTCCTTTTCGATTGGATGTATTCCTGGGGTGTATTGCTGAGAATTGAGCAACTCGCATACCGACAGGATCAAACAAAAACAAAGCCAAAAGTAAACTATGCTATTACTCAAATGGATAGTAAAAGTTAAAGAAGAAATACATCAACAATACTGTTCAGTAAGGAAACAACCGGGTCAGAGCAATATATGCGATAAGAGTGAAAATCACTTTAAAAATTCCTCCAGAAAAATGTGGAAAAAAGACAGCTTACAAAATCCATCACCCGCGCCTTATATTACACAGGCGCTTATATGGGGTTACATAACCCCACGCAATAACGTGTTTGCTTTACAGTGCATAGATGTTGCGATACATTAGGTTCCCGGTGGACTTCCATAGAGAAATCGCACTAAGAAATTGTGTGCGATTGCGGGAATGAACCGACTACAGGCAAATGTGGCTCATGGTTTCTATGAAAACCGTGGACGGCAGTGAAACTCAAGACAAATATGGTTTAGCAAGCTGATGGCGCAGGTGCCTGTTTTGGTGATCTAGGGCGAGGATTCGAAATTTAACTAGTTTCTTATCTAGTAATTTTTCACAGAGCAGTGCGTTGGTGCATTGCTCAGTTTGGATGTCTAGGCAAGGAACTCGTCGGTTAATAGTAGAATATTCCAGTACTGCTAAATCCATGTTCTTCCTTCAGAATGATATACACCAATTGTACTATGATTTCATCGTTTAAATAAAATTTGAGCTAAGACAGTGGCATTAACCATCAGTAGACGGCTAACCACGAAATATGGCAAAAATTAACTGGCAGTTTCTCAAGAGGAAGCAATGTGTACCGCACAGCAGAGGCCTAAACTCAGCCCACATAGCGTCCGCAATTGCTAGTACATGATAGGTGCATGTGTAGATATCAGGGGAAGACATTCATTGCTTAACTGTCTTGGACCTACCTAAAGAATACGGACCGCCGAATGTTCCGTTAAGCACCAATAGACTTCACAATTCCTCCGCCGTCCATCAAATTGGCTTCCCACATGCGGGTGTACCAAATAGACATTGTCGGCTTACCAATCGGCGTACAGATCTAAACGGATTCTCGTGTGTGCGACACACATACCCACCAACTAGAAAAGCCCACTGTGTGCAAAGAGCACTGCGGCGAGTATATAAATTAGATGCGCATCACAATTCTAGATCGTCTTATCGCCGTGATGTTCACGTCAACATGCTTACTACTGCTTGGTACGTCTCGTGATGACCGCGCAGTTAATCCTCTGATGCTGAGTATTCGGTGGTATTATTCTCCACGGAACTGTGTTTTCTATAAATACTGTCGAATCGCATTCAATAAGTACCAGGCTGCTAGTCTTAATCACCATTAGCTAATATTTTCATTACCTTGCGAGGACACTTGAGAAAAGCTAATTCCCCTTATCTGTATTAGGTAGTCGCATGTATGGGTTGTTGATTCACACTAATACATCGGCATTAAACATCTAAATCAGCTGGTTCATTCGATTATGTCATGTGCACCTCCCAAAAATAGCCACGCATGCAGTTAGTGTGACGGATCATTGGATGCCCTGCCCAAGCTTAACTGAGCCACTTGGAAATTTAGTTGTTTCTATATCAACCACGAAGACAGTGCTTGAATCAGTTGCTTAATGCAGTGAGGATTTGTGTCCGACAGGTTGAGTACTCGGTGCTTAGATGCGTAACAACAACATCGTTGAAATTCTGACTGCCGAAACAGTTGCCAGGGTAGTCGAAATTCCTGCACATTCGGGTGCATGATGTTCAAAAACACGAATTTAGCAAAACCGATACGGTGCTTTAGGCCACTTACTTAGACATTCTGGATTAATGCACTTCTGAAGCACCTTGTGTGCTAAATGACTTTATAACCTATTCTTCATAGACGCGACCTATTTCGTTCAACAGCAATTGCGTTTGCGCCATGTCAACTGGAGCGTCAACATGGTGAGTTCCCGTTAGTGAAGTAGATGTCATTAATTGATCCATACAAAACTACTGCAGATTATAAATTTTCTACTGCGTCCGTCATGTCTAGATTATTATTTGTTCCAAACTTTCATGGAAAATGTAACATGCATCCTGAAGAGAAGGCAGAACTACCAGTGCAGACGTTGCTGGCCTTAATAACCAAGTCTTTTCCGCATGAGTACCTAAGCAAATATTCATTTTTGCAATTTGCACTTCATTTTCACTTGCCCTAACAGTCATAATGATAACAGGAATACTAATCAAGGATGGCAATATGTTACCATTTACAAGTGAAAAGGAACTGGAAGACAATCCATCATCTAGACATGTTGAAGATATCTGTATAAAGGTAAACAGTATTTCATTGAGTTATTGTTTAGTGGTGCATGGTAATTGTATGAACGCAAAAACAATCTATGAAGTTGATACCTTTCACGAATCATTAAGTCTAGTTGTTCATTTTGTCTCATATATTGACCTCATGATTTAAAGTTTGACTTATTCGAGATAATAAATGTTCTGGCTGCGCACTCTAAAGCAAATACCCCTAAAACGGTATTATTTACCATGCGATTTCAGCTCCGGGCCTCAATTACATCCCAGACAGGTGTGCCATACGAAATGGTTGGATGTGGCTTCTCTTCATTAACTGGTCATCCCAATGAAACTCACGTCATTGTCAGTCTGGAGAATATAGGATTGGTTGAAATGCACAAGTTTGTAAGGGATTTGTATTTGGAACTTGTAAGACGAAAAAATGACTCGAAAATCACGGGCTTAAACCTGCAACGACCATACGGTAAATTGATCCCAAATGTTGAAATAATATTTCGATGCTTGCGTTTTTGGCACTCTTTCTAGCTTCGTAAAATAATCGGGTAGCAATAAGTAGTGATTCTATTCATCAACAGCCACGTATCCCGCGGTTATTGTTCACTTAAAAAATAAAGAATGAAAATGGTGATTGTGACACCCATAAACTATGTAAACAGTCAGGTTGTCATATTCCTAATTTATGCTGCGTTATTTTACAAGCTAACTTATGTCTCTATTAATTCGCAGTGGTTATCACCGAGAACTGTCACACAAGTAAGTTGTTCTACGGTAGCGAATTTCATAAAAATCAATTACTACTAGAGTACACAGTTTAGCGAACAATCCTACACTTCTCATTTAAACCTGGTACGGCACGGATTGGGTCGCATCCGGATGGACGATTGTCGGTGGGAAATGACGCGACAATCCTAAGCAATACATCCCACATAGTTCACCAGAGTGAGAAGTTCAACGCAGCTGACTACTCGTGCGATTTTATGTCACGTAATCGCCTTTGTTTTTAGGGTGAATTATCTATTGGCGCTAAAACATATTGACCAAACGATCAGCGATTTTCACGGAACCCCACAATTGAAAGTTACTGAGTAGAGTACACAAACCCACACAAGCACCTACATGTTGACCATTACCAAACAAGCATATTTGTCGCACCATGAAAGCAGCCTATACCGTAATGCCTGAAATTTATTATGCTTGTGATTTTCTAATTTCAAATATTGTCAAACCAATTTAGCCATCCGTATTGCAATGGGATTCGTCGGCGATTATTTAAAGGGCGAATGGCGCAGCTCATATGGAAGTGCAACTGAGGTGATGCAGATTGCGGAGGCGATCTGCTCGAAAGTAAGCAACAGTCTTGAGTTCATTTGTAAACACTTCGCCGCAGCAAACAGCGTGGTGACTCACAATGATTGGAAGACGGCGGTGGCCAAACAGAGAACTATGGCCACTCCAACACTTAACTAGTTAATGCTCCGTTAACATTCAAATCCTGCACACTGCACAACGCAGTTCAAGTTGCAATTTGCGTTCGTTTTCCATTTTTTTATAGATTTGACTTAATCTCTACAGAACAGCCAAATAATGTGGCGAGCCTCTAGCACTTGACTAGCAAACAAAACTACATTCGCAGAATATACATGGATTACATTTTATCACGTTATGAACCCCAAGAATCTTATGCGTTCCCGCTGGTTTAATTGAAAAACTATAGCGTTTGACATTAAATTATTAACAGGACACAGTATGTTGATAGGCATTTGACCGTTACAGGGACATACTTTTGATGCACGCGGCATATACTGCATCGCAAATCCTTGACTTCAACACCGATTCAACATCCTATGGACTCGTTGTCCCACGAGTGTTCACGTCTAACTGCTAAGTCAATGTGTAGACAAAAGATGATTAAGATGTGACCATATTTGTCACGCATTATTAAATTCTACCACATAAACCAGAAGCTGTCAAGCATAACCATTTCTCTCGTAATAAATTTACCGTGCCACTGGAAATATTGTACTTATTGTACTTGTTCTCTTTTATCAACCAGTATGACAAGACGGTGAGTACCGAGAATAGGTCGAGCCTCAAGAACTTCACTTGCGTGGTATCCGGTCCACACTTGGGACATTTGGAAGGGGAATTTGTCTTACGGTTCGAGTCAGATAAAGTGGACGTCAGCACATTAACAAAAGAAGGCTTGGAAAAACGAAACCAAGAAGGAACTGGTTACTTCCTTGCGGAATTGCAACTGAAATTCTTGAATGCTACATCCTAATATCAGTACTAAAGTCATGTATTAGAAATCGATGATTATGTGCTAATTCATGCTGAACCGAAATTATTTATTCCCAATAGACTATTTTCAGCCGTATCCGTTTACATTACAATACTAGCTTAACTTTACCGACTCTTTATTATTGTGCCCAGCCGAAGCATGATGTAAGCGTTAACACTTTTAATCATATATATATATATATATATGATTAGAGTGCACAACCATTCAAAGTTGCCAAAACACGCAACATTACCCATCTGACGGGACGACACTATGCTACGTAGCAGAAAGCAAGTAGATGGGAATCAAAATTGTTTCATCCGAAGAGTGACTGTGGGTCGGCAGAATATAATCGATTAGTCAACCTAGCTTTAGCCTGATCACACTGTTCCAACTGTCATACCCCAAAGTGTGCAAATCTTACCACAACGGGGGAAATAGTCGAAACAGTTCACAAGACGCCCTGTGATTTTCCATTGTGGGTTCGATCAGCATATTTATCAATTGTATGATAATCCTACACCGGAAGTGCATCCAGTTAGTAGCGACAGTTGAACTGCGAATGAATGCTAAGATTAAGGCATTTTAAGCAAGTATGCTTCAGAAGATAATATTGGCCTCTAAGTAAAGCAGTTTCGCAGGTTTCACTTCAACTTAACTAGGAACATTAACGTCCCCATCGCCGCTATGCCTTTGAACTATGACATGATGGCATGTTAAAAGAGACCGGAGCTCAGAAACATGATTACTGCTTGAGCAGCAGTCACGTGAGCACGCAAATAAACGGATAGTGCTCCCCTACGTCAAGAACGTCTCCGAACTAGCAGGAGGATTGTTGAAGTCACGTGGTACCCCTGTGGCTCACAAACCAAGTGACGCCCTAAGGAACTTGATCTCACGACACAAAGAAAAAGTCAATCAAGCCAACCAATGCAACGTCATCTACAGGCTAATATGCAGCGACTGCGACGTCGGACAAACTGGTAGAACGCTTTGTATACAAATCACTGAACACAAGGGCGCCGTCAGAAGTCATGATCCGTACTGATTGTTTTTTGCGCATGAAGATCGATTAGGCCACCATTTCGATCTGGAGAATGTGAAATTACTAACACATGGAAGTACAAAACACGGGAGGGAGTTTTTGGAAACTTGGCACTCTACAACGCATTCAATCAATCGATATATCTAACTGGGCGCAGTGTACGTAACACTAATAGAGAAAGACCGCCAACTCGATCAGTAGAATCCGGTGGAACTTGGGACTAGACAACCAGAACTGACGACAGACTTTCTCACAAGAGCAAGCAGACAAAGGCCACGAAACACAAGGGAGTCAAGCACATAGGTCATGTGTTCATTAACCAAGGTGAACGTGGGTAAATATATAAATAAATAAATAACCAGTTTTTTCTCGATTGCATCGAGACACGCCTTATTAGACATGATCAGATTTACAGACAATGTTTCGCAGTTGGCGCATTTACTTACGTGCAATAATGTGGAAAGTACATTTGAGGAGAACATCAGAAGTGAAATGGCAGTTTTTTGCTTTTATGTGAGTGTTGCGTGGTTTTGGGTCCGTAGGCTGTGACTTTATTCAGTGACGATTCACATTCGCCCAACGGAATTTTTGGGGTGAAGGCTTTCTAGGCGAAAACCCACCGCGTCCTTTTACACTTCCGGCTGTATTATATAAATATGCTCACATGTTGGAGGCATGCCACCAAATGCAGAATAATGTAGGTGCAAGAGTTGTGACCGCAGAAAGGTAGGTTGAATGAAGCAAAATATGCTCCGTTTGATTTCATTGGACAATATGTGGCAGAATTTTGTGCTTTTGTGTACTATATGGGTTGTAGCGGGATGGTAGAACGAAGACCATGTGAAGAAAGAGTTTGCTCAATGAATACGAGTTTGTTCAAGTGTTGGGGTTGTTAACGAATAAATAGTTTGTACTAATCTTAGTCAGCATTCCTCAATTTCATTTGATAATGTGAAGCCGTGGGCTGGTTTCGGAGACACCAATCGGCAAGCGTCAGATTGTTTCATTCTGGCGAGTTAATTTTGTTGGACATTTCTTTTTAATCTTCTGGATGTGTATTTGAGTCACAGTGTGCAAATTATCATCTTGTTCGTGGGAAATAATCCACTGTCGAGTTGGACGGTGCGGAGCGCCACGATAAAATCCACTGGCGAGGTGGATGAAGTGTGAGTGGTTGTTTAACGCCGGATATTTATTTTCCGTTGTACAGCAACTATATAGCACTTAACCCAGTTGTTCTGGCTCCAATGATAAATGTTTGTATATGGTACTCCAAATAGAGTGAATAATTTGTCAGCGATATTATTCCGACAAACATGACGGTACCGTACATAACTCGGCTGAGTACTGTCCGAGTAAGTCCAATTATTCCGTTTAGATTGATCGCTAGAAACTGGGTTAGGATGAATAAAAACTGATAAACATAGGGCTTTCAGAAACAGCGGAGGAAGCGTAATGTACACTCATAATTATTCTCACACTGACCTGTTTAATTCATTTCATATGTTTACAGTGAATACAGCACTTTCTACTAACCATAGACGTATATGTATTCTATGGGAATTATCTATACGACCTTTAATCGCTTGGGGGAATGGGACGAATATGTTGCGTGCGACAGGTAGGAAGAACAAATTATGTAATATTATGGCTTTTAGTATGTGCAGAATCTATGTAACAGGTAAAAAGGATCTGTTTGGAAAAATGCGCATAGTGGAACGAGTATTAGAGATAACGATGTTTACTAAGAGGAAGGATATCGGTGGGCAGCACAGCCAAATACTTAAAGTCCTACGCTGAAAAGTGCAGAGCCACATTGTCAAAGGTAAGCCTTTGGGGCCGCGGAGGTAGGTAGTGCCTACTGGGAAATAAAAGCCACAGCTAAGGATATAAGAGAAGGAAAGGACAAGCCAGGGGATACAAAGCAAGGTGAGGAGTCTATGTTGTGTTGTTGTGATTAAAAAGAGAAGGATTATTAGAGTAGCCAAACGATGTTTGCATAGGGAGAAGTATATAAATGGGCGACATAGCCAAATACTTGATGACTTTCGCACAGAATTACGGAGCTACAATGTCAAATGTAAGTTGTTGGAGCAGCGGAAGATGGTGGTTTGTACGAGGAAATGTGGGCTAGAGCCAATAGATAAGAGAAGGCGAATGACTAGGCATGGAAGACGAAACGAGGTGTAAAGGGAAGAGACAGTGTTATTAAGGTTAAATAAAGGAAAAACTGTCAGTTATATCGACGTCAGCTTGGGAGTAAATATATAGGTGTGTATCATAGCCAAATATTTAAGGTCGTAGGAACAAAATTGCAAAACTACCTTGTCAAACGTAAGGCATTGTAGCAGCGAAACTAGACGGTGCGTACGATTGGAGTCCTAAACAATAGGATTGTTTTTTTCCACGGGCGACGACGGTGGTATCAACACACGTGCACACCACGCTCAGCGCAATCTCACCGAGTCATCCCTACGCTAATCTGCGCCGCTCAGCCACGCACTGATGATGTCTCCATGATTGGTGACGAAACGTTTGTGACAAAATTGCCAAGCTCAACAAAGAGTCTAAACGGCATCTGAACCCAGATTATTAGGAAGACATTGGTACCCTCCAAACATTTAGAAAACCTCGTACTGTGTGCAAATGCTTTGCAGCACGGATGCTACGGGATACGCATCAATATTGAAGTTGAAAATATGCATATCGTAAGTATGCAGCAAGAAGGATCGCTTAGATGCCATCTTTATCCACAGCATGCCAGAGCTTTTTTCATACACTAAACAAGAGATCGGA